AAAAAAAAAAAAAAAAAAGAAAAAAGAAAAAAAAAAACAAAAAACCATCTACCTTCCACATGCCCTTCCAAACTACAGGAGGATGTACTTTAACAAAATGAGAGCACCTTAAGCATGGCCTAAGACATAGGAGCCAGTGAACTAGGATCTGACACAGGAAAGTTTTAGAAACTAGAGTCCCAAAACAATGGTTGTGTAGCAAAGAACAACCAGAGGAGAAGGAAAGTCCTAGGACAATAGTGGAGCCAATGAATCATATAATGTATGTAACAATAGAAAATGTGGTGGAAGATTATTAGAAACTATGTGGGAAGAATAAGTGATAGGTGTACAGAACAGAAAACAAAAGGGAAATTATTAAATCCAGGATAAAAGTTGTCAGTAATCTGTATTTCACACAATCTTGGAAACATAAATGTTGAATCTGAATTTAAGCAAATACTGGCAGGATGTCGGGGCATGTAACAGTTAAGTTTTCATCTGCACAGTAGAAAATCAGTACATAGCTATAAGTAACAAAGGAAGAGCTATATGAAGACACTCCAGACATAATGCTAAATATATATACAAAAATAAAAGCAAGAAGTTGAAAGTGGTTGTTTCTAAGGAATAAAAAAGGAACAATGCTGCAGATGACACATGACCCATATTATAGTCTAGGCACAGGCAAATATTTTCTGTAAAGGGCCAGGGAACTCAAGTAGTTTGGGCTTGTGGGCCATATGGCCTCTGTCACAACTCCTGAGCTGTGCTGTTTTAAGACAAAACCAGTCATGTAGACAGAATGTAAACAAATGAGGCTGGTTTTGATCAAGGACACTAAAATTTAAACTTCATATAATTTTCACGTATCACAAAATATTACTCTTCTGGATTTTTTTTTTTTTTTTTTTTAATAGCCACTTAAAAATATAGCTCTTGGGATGCACAAAAACAAGCCGTGGGCTGGATGTGGCTTGTGGGCTATCATTTGTCAACTCTTGATGTAGTCTATACCAAAAAGCATGGTCCATTTAGAAATAGAATTTGCTAATATACTCCTTTTTGTCCAGCAAGTACTTGATCATCATTTAAAAATTCTTACCTGGCGGCATAAGTTTCATGAGTACTCTTGCTCCATCTCTAAGGGGTGGCATATTTAGGCTGCTACCTAAGTCTGCAACTTGCCAAAGAAAAGAGATGTATCTGGGATGCAGTGACATTATCTAGAAAATACACAAAATAATTACCTGTAAATTATTTACTCCCATTAAAAAAGCCCCCCCCAAGTAAGTTTCTGTGTGTTAATCGCTATATTTTCACTTATGCCATTTCTACTCTTTGAAATAGTCTGACTTTTCCATCTTTTAATCCTTACAAATCCTTTATAGTGCAGATTGAACATCTCATCCAAGTCACTTCCAGTCATTTTTTTGGTGATAGCTCCTCCTATTAAATCATTTCTCTCATATATACAATTTAGACTCTGGACATAACGAAAGACTGCCATGCCCACTACCAAATTCTTAATCCAACTGTTATAGGGAGCCAAATCCTCCTGACACTGGAGTGGCTGCTATTACTGTAACCATTAAAATTTCTGTGGGGAGGGGTGAAAGGAGAGCTTAAAAAAGGGAGGAATCATTGTTTCGTTGTGATATAAGATATTTTACTGACAATCTGATAAAGATTACAGGTATTTTCCAACATAGTTCTTGTTTTCATTTATTTATATGTTTAGAGATTGGGTCTCACTCTGTTGACCAGGCTACAGCATAATGGCACAATCACAACTCACTGCAGCCAAGAACTCCTGGGCTCAAGCAATCCTCCTGCCTCACAGCCTCCTCAGTAGGTGGACTTACAGGTGTGGGCCACCAAGCCCAGCTCATAAATAGTTCTAAAAGAATGATCCATTTTGTGGTATAAATTTTAAAAAGTGATACAGATGACTCTTTTTTTTTTTTTTGAGACGGAGTTTCATTCATGTTACCCAGGCTGGAGTACAATGGCGCGATCTCGGCTCACCGCAACCTCCGCCTCCTGGGTTCAGGCAATTCTCCTGCCTCAGCCTCCTGAGT